ATCTTAGATTATAGTCTCAGTAAATTTCAGCTACTTTAAGCTGACCTTTACAAATTCATCTAGCATTAACCACTGCCAAAAATTCAATTATTTTTGGTGCAGAAACTATCCTCATCTTTAGCAGTAACTATTACTTTCCAATTACCACCCAATTACTTATGTTAATGATTGTTGTACCACTGAAAACAAAGTATATTTGGGATTAGAAATTTATTGAAATTGTTAAAATTGAGAAGGTTATAAAATCTTTAATATTTCCCCTTTTTTCACTTATTTTGAATTATTTCCTCCCATTGGAATAAAGAGACAATGAAGCTACTCAGATGAGTAATTGCTCTCTGATGAGAGACAAGTACCCCCAAATGGTTATTTTCCAAATAAAAAATGGCTTCCCAAATACTAGTGGGTTTTTTCTAGAGCCCAACTCTGTAGAATTATGTCGTCTTCTAGGCTAAGTGAGAAGAAAAGTGACAGCACAGGATTCAAGTCCCCTGGGCCAGGTTAAATTTTCCCTTAATGTGATGCTGTCCTGTTTAACAAGTTGGCTATGCACTTTATCATAGAATCATAGAATGGTCTGGGTTGGAAGGGACTTTAATGAATGTGTAGTTTCAACCCCCTGAAATGGAAGGGGCACCTTCCACTAGATCAGGTTTCTCAAAGGTCCATCCAAGCCTGGCCTTGAACATTTCCAGGGATGGAGCAGCTACAGTTTCTCTGGGCATGCTGTTCAAGTGCCCCTCCACCCTCACATTAACTATCTGATCAACTCCTAGAGAATGTTTTAATTCTGGCTTAAGGCAGTCTGTCTGACTGTGAACATCATCGTGAATTTCTTCACAAAGATTATCATATCTGGGGACAGGGTGTGCATATCTTGCTATGGTAAGCACCTTACTCTATATGGTGCTTAGACCATCAATGGTGTTTTTTTTCAGAAGAGGATACTTTTCCTTTGAGGCTAAGTATTAAACTGCAGTTTGATTTGCTTAACTAGGTCTCATTTAGACATATCTTGATTATTTCTCACTGTTTTCTGTTATTTGTTTTAATTCTTTTCAACATGATATACATTCAAATACTCAATGGTCTCACCAAAGACTAAAAGCATTTGCATTTAACGCATATTCTCTTAAAAAGGAGAATTGGTCAAAAGGTCTGTAGAATGTTTTAGCAGCCACCTGTCAATTCTGTAAAACTTATCCATCTAACCAAATTTTACTTTTACATAAACTAGCATGTATGTCTTTATATGATCAGATTCACTGATAGCTAAAATTCTTATACTTTAGGAAGTAAACATTCCTACTTTAATCCCCTTTGAATAAATACTCTAAATTCTTGATCATAGAAATTCTTAATCACCTCAAAAATACTTCAGTGAATTTTGAGATTTATCCTTCAATTAATTGCTCCTATGTTGTATCTTCCTTTCTTATAGCCCAGCTGGACACCAATTAAAGTTGTGCAAATAATCATCTTGCAGACAAAGATCTTCAAGGAATACGGTCTGCCTTTTATCTTAGAGATAAGAAAACTTATTTGGACAAAAATGGGATTTTTAATGAAAGACTTCTGGGAAAAATAAAGAAGGAAAAGCTAAATGATTTTACAATGTCATTAAGTTTATGAAACTGGCTTCGGGGTTTTCCCTGTGAAAACAAGATCAAACTCTTAGAGTCATCATGCTTCCTTAGCACTGTTTTCTTCCTCCTATGCCTCTTATGAAAAACTACCATCACTTGAAAAGAAATATGAAAATGCTGATAAGAAACCCCTACATGATTTGACTTTGGAAAGCAGTAGTTTTCTAAATGGCAATTATCAGTGCTAAAGCAATGCATGAGGTACTGACCCTGATCTGTTTCCTCAGAATGTTGTTCCAGTCTGAAAAAAGAGATAGCACAAATACTCTCATTGTAACAGCTGTTCAGGTTAATGTTATAGTCTCTAAGCAGAATTTTGACTGTAATTCTGTTTTCACACTGCATAAGCCATTTTGACTTTCACCATATTTCCATGCTTTCTGAGTGAAGCTGATTTCATGCTTAACAATGCAGAACAGCTTCACAGTCCAACTATCTAAATAAATTCCTACAAGCTTTAGACACTTTAAACTGAACCCCTGACCTAAACTACTGATGTTACTATTACTTGGTGTAAAAAATTGAACTAGGACGAGGATCAGCAACCCATTCTACTGGAATCTGCTCTCACAAAACTTTCATGACTTTGGAAACCTTTTTTCTTTTTTTAAAAAAGTTTTAATTTTTTTTTTCCTAAATTTTCTCCTGAAAAAGACATATTACAAGGAGAATTTAGGATCTTCTGTAGGTTGAAACCTCCTTACATAATCCTTTAAAGCCAGATATCTTAAAAATCTGGTCCTACTTTTCAGCAGAGACTGTTGCAAACATGCTGCTCTTATTGACTTACTATCCATGACTGAACCAGAACTGCAAAAGCTGACTGTATTATTTTCATCTGCTGATAAGCTGTACATAGAAGTTTATGTTTACTTAGGTAAAACATAATTTACTATTTGATACCAATGTTGCTGTTAAAGATTTCATAATTCACTATACAGTCTAAATGCTTCTTTTATACATAATATATTTATCACCAATCAATATTGAAAAAGTTTGACAAATTTTTTGCACTAAGTTGATTTATTATTGCTCTGGATATAAAATCAAAAGTGCTGCATTGCTCTTTTATTCTAGGATTGAATAAGGCTTTGAAGTGGTTAAGAACAGAAATCTTGGAAATTGTAATTAGCACTTTTGTGGATTACCAAAGAAAGTTCTAGATATTTCAGTTTTGAAAGTTGATAAGCAAGCTGTAACAATGACACTTGAATTGTATGAATGATTTTAAGGAGAGGAGCTATTCTAATGAAAATATTTACTATCTGTTTTGTACACACTGTTGCCTTGCATATAAGCAACTCTCTCCACAACTTTCTTAATTCCCTATGACTATCAAGCCTGTACATTCCCAGAACTATGCTTTGCTTAGATTCCTTCCTTGCTGCCTGTTGGCCAACATCCTTCTGAGTCCCATTTCTCCTAGAAATATTAACAAAGCGATCACTTCCCTTAAATAAAATCTTATTTCCTTTTATGCCTTGTTTTGTTCCTGTTTGTTTATTTGTAAAAAGTAATTAAAACAAAATGGGTGTTTTTGTCATCCAGGGAGCCACTGAAGTAAAAAAAAAAAAACGAGTAAAGAATGTAATTGGTCTTTTTTTCTTTAATTATGGTCTCTATTACTTTGAAATTATTATTTCCCTGGCAAGCACTTCTTGAAGTATTTGCATTTAGTGAGACTTCTGAAAGCAGTGTAATTATGGGTCACAGTAAAAAACTTAACATCTACAGCATTTTGATTTAAAAAAACAATGTCCAAACAATTCCTCCAGGAGGTATTGCATGCAGATGAACTGAGAGGCATGTAGAAGCTTTAAAGCCAGAGTAATCATGCTGGAATTTGCTCACATTTTATGTCTTTTTTGTTTATCTGTGATTCATGAAGGAATGCATAATATGTGCCTATTATCTTCATAGGGGGTATTTCACAGAAACTCAAGTAAAGATTTGTTTCACATCTCTCATGTGAGTTACTTCTGTTGAAGACTGGGTATTTAAATCATTCTTAGTAACTTATTAAATTCTTTTAACAGATCATTTGAATCACAATTTCCATGAATTAAAAGGTATTTTTGTTATAATCTTATGAGAGATGCTATATTATATTGTCATCTCTGGAACAATTCCAAGCTTATCTATAGGACCCCTTCACAATTGCAAGTAGTCCTATTTATAAGAGGACTAGAGTTTTAAGACATAATTCAAGTATATTGGTAATTGTGGAAGATATTAACTCTTTAGCAAAGGCTTGTGCATATAAAGGGAGTATGCCACACACCTATTTACCACATTCCTTTTGATAAATATTTAGAGGCATTTTCTTAAGACAAGTCATGCAGATCTTTATGATTGACAGAATTAAAAAAAGGGAATCTGAAAACATTTAAAGACTGAAGTGTGATTAATTGTATAATTATACATTTTCAAGGGGAATAACAGGCTCTTTTATATATTTTAATTTTTTTTCCTTTTGTTTGAAAACAGTGAAGCTTGCAAAACATTATATGTATTGAAATGGTAATTCTTCAAACAGGAGTTGTCACAGAAGTTACACAGTCTCAACAGCATTGAAAAGTTGCTCCTCAATGCTCTGCTGGATCCCAATTTAGCAAACTACTTAAACATATCAGGTTAGGCTAGAGTTAAACGAGCAGGAATTTATGCTTTGCTGCCTGAGGACCTTGTAAGAAATGCATGAATAACTTGCTACATTTTTCTCCAATCTCAAATAAAGGTTGAAAAATAGCAACAAAGCTAAGAAAAATTTTGTCATAGCTCACACATATTGTTGCCATTATTGCCTTTAAAATATGATTTAAAGAGTAAGGGGTCAGGTTATTTTTTCTGCCAAGATCTCTCACTTGTATTTGTCTAGATCTATTGATTTCCTGAGTAAACCGATGTATTTTACTGCTACCACAGAATGTAAAAGATATAAATATCTGAGTTTTGAACTTGAATTTTTTTAGGGTTTCTGCTTAAATGTATTAGTTTCTGGAATACTACGAAATAAAGAGAGACTCCAGCCATGTTTACATGTTGAATTTTTTCAGAAACTGATTTGCAATTATCAATAGGTATTTACACAAGGAAAAAGGGTAACTTTTGCAGAGACCTTTTTTGCGTAACTCTGCAATAAAGAAGTGCTTCAAATATTTAAAGAATTATTGCTTAACTGAGAAATTGAATATATACTGCTGCTTTTTACTAAGTGGCAGATGAACTATTCAAATATGACCATAATAATAATAGATAATCATGTGTTTAGTGCTTTATATTCTCAAATCTCTATAAAAACATTCATTACAATGTTTTCAAAGCAGTGGACAAGGAATAATCACTCAGACTTACCCACATTTAATCTGCCTGTGACTTCCCCATTTGAATTGCGAGCATTCACAGTCACATTGTGAGTAGACTGGAGAAGCAGTGATGAGTCCTGAAGTATGGAGAAAGAAAAAAAATATGTTGGACAGTACAATTAGAATTGTGAACTATTTTCAAAGTTTAGTCTAGTGTTGGTATCAACTCGGTCACTGAAAGGTCTTTGCAGCTACAAAACTGTCCACAGGATCTCATCAAATAATGTGGGCAGATATTTCTGATTACTACAACTACATCAGATTTAAAGTAAGAAAAATAATTAAAGGGAATATGTCAGGTGAACAAAACCTGTGTTACTGGACCAATGAACATGGCTGCTAACATTTTATCTTTTGGAAAAAATGCTTTAGTACTAGATTCAGTACCTGTCAGTACATAACTGAGACTCCTAGAAGACAGCCATTTAATTGAATGTGAGCACTCCACTTTGAGAATTCATACCATTGTACTAACTTGGTGAGAAACATGCATGTGCATTCTGCTTCCTCAATGGTCCATGCAATCTGTAGGCTGTGGCCTAATTTTGGCACCTGGCACTGACTCTCCAGAAGCTCTAACAGTGAGTGATGGAGAGAGTGGCAGGCTGACTAGATCAGTGCTGACTTTAACAGATGACATTTTCAGGGTAATCATAGTGGCCACTATCTTTACTTGACATTAAGTATCAGAAAATTATCTGGGTACACAAATCTTATCACTCATTTGGATCAGCAAACTATAAATACACTTGTAGACTTCAAAAAAAGGGGAGGAAGTTTTCTGCAGAACAGGTGTTTTCATACTAAAGCACACTTTGTCTCTGAAGGACAAGAACTCAGTAAGTAATAAGAAGTGCCTATGCAGATCTCAGTTGCCAAAGCATCAGGGAATACATGATGTGAAGAGAGGATCAGCAAGGTGCCTGCTTGTGACCTCAGTGGAGATACCCAGTCCTAAATAAATGAGTTTCTAACTACTGGAATATTATTAAAAGATCAGCCTCTTTCACAGATATGGCTTCTAGTTATTTTTCTGGACTCACCGGAGACCACATATAGTACCTTGAAGGGCTAACCCCTAAAATAACCCCAAGGCATGTTTTCATCTGAATTTAATGCTTAGAGTATGAGACAACCTGAGAGTTTTAAACACTTTTTATGTGATGAATTTTACTACAAACACTTCTTTAGTAACAAAACCACAAACCTGATTAAAAAGTAATGAAATAGAAGTAACACACAATTTGGACTCAAACTTACACATTTTTAAAAGAAAACAAACAGTATCTTACAAGTAGGTAGAAAGGCTCTTTCAAAATAAGTCATTAAGTGAGCAAAAGAAATGAATCACACTTTATAAATTATATTGGGAAGACATAAAAGCTCACAGAATTAACACAAATAATGAAAAGTCTTGGGAAAAAAGTAAGCCATGTGTTAGAATGAACATTAATGGTAGTAAGTTAGTATGAAGTGGAAAAGGAAGGCCAACAAAGATTGGGGATTGGGTAAATATAGCACATTTAAGTACATCTGCTAAATGACCCACAGAGCTGGGCATCTTTATTACATTTATTTGGTTGCCACTGGTTGATTTAAAAAATATTTTAGTAATTTGTGGTATCAAATGAAAGTGTGAATAAACTGTACTCTAGACCTGCTGCTGCCACAGATGTGGTTTTTACTAATTAAAATCTAGTAACATATTTAAAAATGCTCATCTTTTATCTTTCCATGAAGACGTTTTAGCAAAGGTGCAATGGTCTTGCCCACAGCTCTGCGTTGGGACTCATAATGAAGGCATAAACTTGTAATAGGCTCCAGAGACAATGCACAGCAAGTGGATTTTCTGCTACATATTTTCTTAGCACTTTGGAGACCTCATTAGGTGAGAAAATCTGTTAGGAGACTGCAAGGAGAACTATTAAGGCAAGGGAGAAAGCTGCTTTGAAAGCTGAGAGGGGCTCAGTTCTCCAAGACAAACTTAGAAAAAGAAAGCTTAACAAATAAGTAATGTTATGAGAATAAACACATAAATGGCAACTCAGGAGACCAAGCTTCAGGCAATTAAGCCTTTAGAGAGTTCAAATATTTAAAAGAAGCAAGGATACAAACAAAAATCCTCTGATGAATTAGCAGTAGGCAGAGAGAAGCAGTAGCCTAAAGGCTCTAATTAATGCACGCTACTAATGATCATGACGGATCATTGGACAGCTAAGCTTATATTAGATGCTGCCACACCTCTTTTTCCTATATTGTGCTAAATGTAGAAAGAGCTGAAAGGAATATTAAGAGAGCACAAATGGTAGCTTAACACTGCATAACAATCTTTGGGACTAGAGGGAGTTCTTAAACATTAGCTGTGGTGGTCTTAAAAAGTTACATGTCTTACTGGATAAAAAACCTCAAGGGAAATTCACCAAAGCACATAAATAGTTTTCTCACCAAAGCACATAAATCGTTTTCTCACTGTCTGTGAGGCAGAAATGAATACAGCATAAGAAACTAAATGGAAACACAGATACAGTAATGGAATTTCACTGTCTTAATTAAGAGCTGTTCCTGAAACTAGAAATATTTAGAGAAAAGTAAAAGCTCAATATAAGTAAAATATGTTGGCATTACTTAAATTTTAGTAATCAAGCATGTTAACAACCTTATTCTGATAAATCTATTTACATTTTCTCTTGCTATAGCAATATATATACACACTAACTTTTTTCCTAGGTTCAGAAAACTCACATGGCTGCCGATTTCTTCTCAATTACATTTGAAGATATGAAAGAGCCATATTTGGCTTTTATTGTCACTGAATAGTACGTTATTCAATGAAATGACCCAGTGGTTGATGGTAATATTTACAAAATATAAAAATTTATTTTGTGAGATGTTGGGCTATGGACAATAGTTCTGGAAAATATTTATTTTATTAGCCAGAGGCAGAACATCTCCCTACAAAAAATTCACTGGAATAAGTTTCAGAGTCCCCCTGGATAATTAAAATCCAAATCAGATGCTTTCTTCCGTTCTCTAAACCTACAACTTCCGCACCTTTCCCTTTCTCAGTGACATTTTAAAGTTAATAATTTTGATAAATATTTGACCAAGTTTGGTATTCTTATTTTACCTCACTAGTAATAACAACAACAAACTTTTATGTCTAGGTGAACTAGATTAAATACTAAGTCTTTCCATTTGGACTTGTAAATTTTATATACATAAATATATAAACATGCCAGACATCTCATGGCATCATCCTTGAAGTGAAAAAAGCTATATATTTTAGAGAAATCATAACTTTTCCATTGGGACCCACTAATTTTAGAGATATTGAAACTATTCTTTAGTGGATGAATAAACAGAACAAGCAGCTTCCTGGGGAAGTCTGTATTAAAAAATAATCTCAGTAAAAATAAAGAAAACCTTTTCATACACTCCTCAAGTTTTAGCATTACTTATATACAATAACCATTATAATTCCTGTTTGAGCTGCTTATCACATGCCTAAGAGATAAATGCTAATTCTGACAAAGCATCATAACATTGTCCTTGTAAAGCGTGCAGAAATATGTGTATATACAGATATACATGAACATACATATATATATATGTGTTTGTTTTTTTCTTACATGACAGAAATCATGGAAAGTTCAATTATTCAGAAGTGCATTCATTTTATTTAGCATTTTTGCAAGATTACCCACTTACCACTCTCGAATGGATTTCTTTGGCATAAAGAGGGAATAAGAATTCAGATTCCCCTTCCAGTCGAAGGCCTTCTTTTGTAACACGCAGGTGTCCCATTCCAGTCTGAGGAGAAGATGTGAGAATTATGCACAATTTACCATTGTTGCTGTATTTATTTTGTGTTCTTTTCATGAATTAAACATTTTCAGAACTGCCTGCCTCAAGTCTACTGATAAATATACAAATAGTAATGCATTTAAAATTTTGAGAACACCTTATTTTTTCCCAGGAGTAATTTTCTGTGAGAAATTGCAGGTTTCATTATTCATTAAGTTATTAAACTTGGTTTTTTTTTTTTTTTGTTTTGTTTTGTTTTTGTTTTTGTTTTTTTTTGGGTGGGGGAGGGTGTGGAGTGGAAATACAGTTTTATAGTCATTAAATTAAAAAGAAGTGCATTTGTATTGGCTGTGCTGAAACAGCTTTTGTACTTGCCTTCTAAAAATGTAATGAACAATAAACTTTTACATATGAGTACTCACATAAAAAAACTTACATTAACATCTCAGGGTTCAGTCTATCAAAAATATAAGCCTACAGAACAGACAAAGAGGGATATTTATTTGCTTTCATTTTCCTCAATAACTTCTTTTTAATTAAATTTTAATTCATTGGCTTAGTTTTTTCTCCTTCAATTGTAGGTCAAGACTCTATATCCCATTATCATACACCTTTTTCTCTATCACCTGCTTCTCAGTTTTCTCATCTTTTCTTCTTGAGTCCCTCCTGCTTTCAGCCCAATTATTCTTTCCAGCTGATATCTCCGTTCTTTCTTTCTTTTTACTTCCTTTCATCATTATCATAGAACTGATAATGTGAAAAATGAGTGAGGAATTACTTCAGTAAGTACATCTGAGGTTTGCAGGCTTCAGCTGCAAGGTATTTCACAGGTATTCAGCTAATTTGTAAAGAATTCGCTGGTTTCCCTAACATAAAGTGTGACAGAAAACTTGCCAAAAAAACCCCAACAAACCCAAAAAACCAGCCTTTCAGCTAGGCCACATAAAAATATTTCAAGACAACTGCTGCAAACTACAAGGAACAGATGGAAGAGCTAAATAAAAAAATAAACCCAAAAAAGTATTTTCAGGTAGTTCTTGATGCAAGCAGAAGAGATAACAGGCCACCAATTACACATCAATAAATTGTTCATCTAATGAATTATGCTTGCCACTGAGAAAAGTTATAATTGAAGAGATGGTAATTGCTTTCAAATATATGTTCTGACTAATCAGATTATATATGTATATATGTAATGCTAAGTAACATAAAAACCAACCTTCAATAAAAAATCATAGTTATTTTTTTAGCAGACCTGAAGGGAGACAAAGAGAGAAACAAGTTTTGCTTAAATTCCATAGGGCAAGAAATGTTCATTCACTCCACTGGAGATTACAACCACAATTCTTCTTCAGCAGGATTTGCTTCAGGAAAGAGGCTTTTAGAAAAGCTATTTATGGAATCTGTTTTTCAGGGTCAAATATTTTACTGTTTTGAAATATTTAATGTACTGACTTTTCTCAGTGAAAACAGATACAGTTTCCAAATTCTACACCACTGCCAAGCTTTTAAAAAGTATTCAGTATACAGTGATACATCCCATAAGGCAAAACTAAAATAACTATGGTGAGCTTTTATAATGACAATTCCTAGCCAGCACTGACTGATTTAAAATTATGTTTTTCTAGCAAAGACTATGGACAGTTTCTTCTATGTTGCAACACCAACATTATAAAGACACTTAGGTTTTAAGGAAAATACTTGAAAAATCTGATGTGAAATATCAGGATATTCTAAAGAAATACCCTTTACAAGTATCTCCTCTTTTATTAACCAAATTTAGGGTCTGATTATTTGCTCTGAGCTCATACTTTTTCCCATCAGGTGCAAGTAGTTTATGTTAGCTATCAGGTTTAAACTGAGTTTTTGTATTTTTATGGAATAAAATAAAAAGAACTAAATAAGTAGCATATTTTAGAATAAGCACAAAAAATTACATTGACAAATCTGAAATTTAAGAAGGCAGAGGAAGAACTATCAATTAATTCTTGCTCTGAAGCAGACTGGAGAAAATTAACAAACTCCTAGGTAGCAATCTCTGTCCTGCCTTTGGCAGGAAGAAATTTTTAGTAGTAACAGAATAAAAAAATTTTGTGGAAAAAAGTTATGCAATTTACTCAGCACACTCTTTCTAATGGATTCAGGTTTCCCAGCAATGGTTATTGTGAAAATGCTATATAGACAAAGAAATGTCTTTGACAAAAAAAATAGTATGTCACATGGTAAAACTCAGCACTTTCAACTTATCTAGAAGTTCCTATTTTTTCAGTAAATCCAGTAATATCCCTCAGGATTACTTTGTATAAGTATGTCCTCCAGTATGCCGTATTTTCTTATATCAGATATTTAATCTAAGCATTGACACAAAGCTCACATTCTCACATATTTGCCTAACAGCCTCATTATCAATTCTCATTGACCACTTGGGAAGTGCAAACCCAGGGAAATTTAGATTTGGGTTATGTGCATAAAAGACTATCGGTGAGGACTAACATAAACTGTGTAACATGCATGCAAACAATAAAACTGGATTTTATATAATGATCCTCACTTCTATTACCTTTGCGACTGCAAACAATTATTATGTTCTTAGTACTATGAGCATCTTAAGATTGTAAAAGTACTGAGTTATGCAGTACAGAGAGATAGGAGAATTCTATTATGTCCCTTTTATAACTGGGAAATTGAAGTTACATAGAATATAAAATAGAGGGATTTAGAATAAACAACCACCCCAATGCACTGAGATCCAATACTAAGTTCCATGGAAAGGCAAAGCATAATATTTACACATAATGTTCTCTCAACAACCACTCTGCTTCTTACACTACCAATTGCTTTTTACTGAGTATTGCGACTTCCTCAGTGATGAACAAATGTGATACTTTCTGTTTCAAGCATTTGATTCTGTTCCTTTTCAAATAACTGAATATTTGAATATATTTCTACTGATTTGAGGAAAGGGACCCAATATCTATTAGTTAGATGTGGACTTTGATGCAGTTGTACAACAAGCTATTGCTTAGGGTGGGGGGTAAAAAAAGTGCTCCATAAAGACAGGAAATGTATGGCAAGTCTGAATTCTGGTTATCCTGATGCTGGTGACTGCCACTGCTTGAGTTTGCTGGCCCTGAGCTGTAACGCACTGTTGTACATACAGATATAGCTGAGACTCACATTTTGTAATTACTCAAAGCCCTCAGCGAGGCAGGGACGCAGCTGTACAGCAGGGAAGGATGAAATGGCATCTTGCAGACAGCAATCAGGTTTTACCGCTGCAAGGAGTTGACTAGCATGGAAACTGCTGGCAGCTGCCAAACTCTTGTGTACCAAGGATGCAACTTAGCATTAGTGTTCACACAGGTGTGACCAGTATTCATTTCAGAACTGCTTGACTTATTCTAACTGCAGCAACAGGATGTCTTTAACTATAGTAGAAACATTTTTTCATAATTTGAAAATGCTCCCAAGCAGGTAAGTGCTTGGAGAAAAAGAGACAAAGCCCTCTACCACAAACATGCAATCTCTGAATCCTCATAAAAGCTCATCAAGACTACTTGATTGAGAAGTCCTGGTCTAAAAGACATTTGACATCTAGCTTTTCAGTGAATTATCTATATAGATACTCCAAAACCAGCTGAAATGAGTAGCCATCACTGCAAAATTCTAGGTAAGATGCACTGTGTTGTGGAACATCTGGATGGGAGGACCATCTTGGATGTCTTATTCTCTTAAGACTCTAAACAGACTCCAGATTATCAGGAGTGGAAAACAAGCAGATGCAGCTCTAGGGCTCTTGCACTCACAGTGAGTTGCTCTCAGGTAGCTGAGTCTCATGCTGCCTATGTCATATGGAAGCAAAAGAGCATCAGGTGATTTATCTGGGATTTATCTCTCAGGATTACGACAATGTAGGTCTGCTGCTGTAGGCATGTGGCCATTAGAAATGAGCATGAGGCATGGGGAACATCCATTCAGTTTAAAAATGAGTATTTCTAGTCACCTAAATTTGATGAATAATATAGTTTTTATTTTCCTACCAACACTGAAACTGATACACACTGGCTCACTGTATTTGGTCAACCACTCTCCATATCATATGTCATACCATATCACATCATCATTGTTTCTGTACCTTCTCAGCATTAGACTCAAATGCAGTCCTCAGGCTCCTCTGAGTAAGTGAAATTGAACTTCTGCTCCGTGTATCAGCTAACAGCTGCAAGGGAAGATGTGTATTTTCTCCTTTTGGGGAGAGATCAAATAATGGAAAGAGGCTGACCCGTATGCTAGCATAGGTAAACCAAAAAATTCTCAAAGTTGATTCCAACATAATTTTGAACACATATTCAATTCAAATCAAGTAGCTTCCGTCTCAGGAGTCAAAAACATGTTTGATTTGCAGTATCTGCTCCCTGAATATTCAACTTTTCCATATATTAAAAGTCCACACACGCTGTAGTGGCTGAATGAAACCAGTAATGATATTAACTTCAGAGTAGAAAGGATACAGCATTTCCACTCAGTTAAATCCTTTTCTTTCTTGTAGGATCCTTACATCCTCTTTCCAGGCCAGATCAGGAAAGGACCTTGCCAAGTTCAGACCAAGACACCACTTGTTGTGCCCCAAAGATAGTTAAATTAATGGCTTTATAGATCCAGCTTGCACTGCAGCACTTCTTGCAGCAATTACTATTTAGAGAACTTGCTTTGCAAACAAGAGTGTACTGTTTCATTGAGATAATAGGACTGTGGGTAGAGATTGTTAAAGAGCAATCAGCAAAACAGGATTGGTAATGAATCTGATGAAACTCTCTGTTTGACTTACAATATCAATTTTGGAGCTAAGTACGTGCTTGGTATAATAACATTACTGATGCCTCATCTCATTTTCAGTTGCAAGGACTCTATTTGCTGGGCTCAGACAGAGGTTATCTGACTCATCTGCTTAGATGACAGTGGAGTAATTCCAGTCAAAGACATTGGTCAAATCAGAGCCCTTGGCA